CTAATTTTTGTATTTTTAGTACAGACAGGGTTTCACCATGTTGACCAGGCTGGTCTCAAACCCCTGACCTCAAGTGATCTGCCCACCTCAACCTCCCAAAGTGCTGGGAAGGATGGGCAGGGGCAGGGGAGAGATGGGCAGGGGTTGGGGGGCCCGTGGAACTTCCTCTAGGATGAGGTGACCTCGTGGACCCCTGGTTCCAGCTGCCCCTCCCCAAATCACCCAGTGAAGAATGTGACACCAGCCCAGGGAGCAGAACAGCCTCCTTCACCTTCCCCAGAGACGTGAAGCCCCCCGGGTCTCACGGTGGAAACCGTCTCTGTATTTGCTGGCTTGACTCTAACAGGAAGAATTCCTGAGACACGGTGTCGCTGGCTGCTTGCTGCCTCCCAGGTGACTGCTGAAGGGAGGCAGAGTTTAACTTGATGCCAGCTAAGAGTCATTTCCCCGAAAAGGGTCTTCCATTTTGAGAGGAGGAGGATGTGAGGTGTGCCTGGGGCCACACACGCCAGGGACCTTCGTGACAATATCCTGGATACCGTCGCCAGGTGGCGGGCATCGGCTTGTGTGAGCCCCATGGCCGCCAGTCCCCTTGCTGGGCGACTGTTTTCTGCCATCGTAGTCCGGGTTACCACCGATATGCAAGCAGTACCCTCCTTGCCCCCATGTTTCTAGCATCTACTCTGGTTTCTCAGCAAAGGACAGAGAATAGGCAAGAAACAACAAGAAAGATCTCCCAGGACAGTGCTCAGGCTCGGCGAGGGGCCGTTCTCATGGTGAGGCAGACACAAAAGTAGAATGAGGACTCCTGGTAGCTCTGCCTCTGCGGGGACACAGGAGGAGACGGGAGCCCGGCAGTAATCACAGGGAAGTGATGTCTCAGGGCAGCCACCGCTCTTGCGTCTGGGGTTCCGGATCTAGAAACACAGCTACAGGTGGTTGAACAGGGGTCTTCAGGAAGATGCCAGAGCCTCAAAACCAGTGTCACCACGCGCCGACCCGGCACAGGGCCCCCTTCTTCCTGCCTCAGCTGCCAACGATGGGCTTCACTTCTCAGCTCCTGAAACGAATTCATCCCAGCTGCCGATCAGCGTCTGTTTCCCTGTTCCTTCCTTTCACTGCCATGAGGCCTGTTTTTAGGGAATTCTGCTGTTTCGTGGATGTCTCACCACACAAACCACCTCAACGCTTCGTTTTTTGAGTTTTCTATTTTTTTCGACGCCCTCAGGACAGAAATCCTAAATAACTACGTGATCAGAAAGTTGCGTGAAAGTAACAAGGTGAAGCCAAAAGTCATAGAAGTCTGACCACTGTGACCGCCAACAGACAGGCCACAGAGAGACTGTCCGCGAACTTGGAAACTGCAAATGCAACCACTCCACAGAAATTTTGCAGTCAGGCCTGGCTCGGGGGCTCACACCTGTAACCCCAGCACTTTGGGAGGCTGGGGCGGGCAGATCACTTGAGGTCGGGAGTTCGAGACCAGCCTGGCCAACAGGGTGAAACCCTGTCTCTGCTAGAAATACAAAAATTAGCTGGGCATGGTGGCGCACATCTGTAATCCCAGCTACTCAGG